CGACCGCTGTGCTCTGCCCGTTTTCAAAAACGTTATATAATTTATTATATGTACTACGCTGCATATAACGACCGATTCCGAGGCGGTCGTTATAAAGAGAGTTGACTGTACTCCGATATATCAAGTAATCTGCAATTTTATTGGGTGATCCTCAATTAATATTTGTTTAGTTTAAACTAAGAACGCCCTTGTAATCGTTATTAATCCATAAGTGAATTTTATTCTGAATTGAAAACTCGACAAATTTTTCTAGTGTTACTTGCTTCTTCTTTTCAATACCTTTGTGCATAAGAAGCCTTGTTAGTCCTTCATCAAGGACGCACTAACTCCTAGATTGCTTTGTTGTATATATTTTACCACATATCGACTCCTACAATCACATCATGTGTTTTAACTTCCGTTTCCCTATCTTCTTCTTCTGATCCACCTCCCTCCTGTGCGTTCATTACTTCTACAATATCATCTACACTTGCACTTTCTCCAATACCCATCTCATCATTTATATTCACGAATTCTCGTACCTCCAAAGGATCGATCATTGATTGGTAACTGTTCAATGAGTTAGAGACAAATATATTTTTTTGGATCCCATGGTTTGATTTCGGTATGTTTAAACCACAAGAACATAATCCACATGCTTCTTTGTCTGGAACTGATGTTACTCAGCATCGCCGCGTCTTTATTCCTGTTATTTTATAGATTTTTCGATTTTTTCGGTATTCAACGACTAATTTCGTTGGTTGACGCCATCTTCCAAATTCAACAATTGGATTGGTTGATTATTACAACACGTGATATCCGTTATATCAAGTATATTTTTGATAGAACTGGCATATAGTACTTTTTGGTTAGCATCCGTTATAGGCTTTATCGAGAGATTACTAATAAAATCCGGTATATCGAGACACATTTTATTAGTGTTGGATTCGTTTCATGAAAAATATCTGTACTAAGCGATATCCGTTATATCGAGAGTCCGTTATATCGAGAGTCCGTTATATCGAGAGTCCGTTATATCGAGAGTCCGTTATATCGAGAGTCCGTTATATCGAGTTTCACTGTGTATCAAGAACTTTGTTGTACGTCCATCTCACAGCTCCCATCCACTTTCTTAATCTTTCTCTTTCTTCGGCGTTAAGTAAAACCGTATCTTTCGCGTTTTTGTCGTTTTCGGTTTGCAGCTGATTTGAGTCCGATATGTCTTGCTGTAAAGACAGTAACGATTGATAATAGGTTTCCAGCAAGCTTACCGGATTCGGTGTCGTTAAGGTTGACGTCCGAACTGAGTACCACGATCTTAGTACTGTTCTTGCCAAGAACCCATTCGACAAACTCGTACGCAAATCTGCAGAGCCGCTCCTTCCTGGTAACCATAACCTCTTCGATATTTCCCCAGCATGATCATTCCAAAATATGGATGCAAAGCCCTTGCATTTCCTGACCCAATGTCCCTAAGAGTTCGTGGTCTGGGACATTTCTAATATTCGCATTACCTGTCGAATCTTTCTGCTTCCCTGAGCTGACTTGCGCATAACTGCTTTTCATTAGACAACTTTCTGAACAAACATACTTATTTCCTACTTTACAAAAAAGATTGAATCACTGACAATGATGTAATAATGATAATTCAATATTCTTGTCGCGTAATTATATGCATGATATCAACGCGTCTGCTTCTCACTATATGTTATGTTACCCAAAAAAACAATATCAAAAGTCAGTTAGAAGAAATATAAGCATGATCTTTTACTATCAGGGCAATAAACATGTAACAGTATGGTTTTTCTTCTACAATTTATATAGTGGAAATAACATAATTATGTTATTTCCACTTAGTCTAGGTTATTCACACTCAGGTATGTGTCATGATTCAAATTTTATGACACAGACTAAGGTGTCGTAATCCAATTTTTATGACACAGACTAAGGTGTCGTGATCCAAATTTTGTGACACAAACTAAGGTGCTGTGATATATATTTTTTGACACATAGATAAGTAGACAGCTTGTATACCCTTTAGAAACATTAAGTTGATATACGAAATTTTATGAGTGATTAAAAATTATTGATATCGAATTTGACTTTCTAGTCGATTTCTTTTGGAAAGAAATAGCTGAATTAGGTTAAGACGTACCGTCATTCGAGTGACGTGTTTCTATTATAACCAAAATTCGATAACGTTATATTGTATACTGGTTCGGTGTTCGTGGGTGATTTCCGCTACAATAGAATAACTGACTTAGGTTATGACGTCCCCATATTGTTATCGCGAGTTTGATAAATCGAATACATTTTATACGTTATTTGATATTGTATGCTGGCTTATCGTTCCCAACCAATTTACATTGCAATAAAATAGCTGAGTTAAGTTATGCTACTTATGCACAATCCTTCTCTATTACCTTTAGAAACCAAATTCGATAACAATATTTGTATGCTGAGTTGGCGATCATGACCGATTCCCGTCATTGGTCACATGGGCAAAAAAATATACATCTGACGATGCATCCAATTATATATCGTCATTTGTGATTCTTGATTGCAGGTTTACGAATAGATATAATATCTTTTAACTCATTTTCGAGATCAGGACATGCTATTGGGTATGATATCAATATCGCTATGAGTTTTCTTTGAGCACTTCTGATTTTTCTGCCATTTTCTCTAGCCGTTTTCGCTGATATTGATATCGAGATCGATAATTACCAGCGTGCATTATACATGCGTCATATTTAGAAAAAGTTAACTTACCACACTTTTTACATGGTGTACACATAGGAGAATTCCTATGAACATGACAGTCTTCAACTTCATATTCCTCGTTGTATACTTCGTCACCAAATAGATCAATCATATCTATGCTAAATTCTTTAACGATATATACCACATAGAATATTTAATAGAAAAATTAATGCAACTGGGACATGCTATATGTATGCTATCTGGTTATGCTATCGATTAATGCGACCAAATATGTATGCTCAGTATATCATGATAATGTTATCAATAATGCTATCGGGTATATGCTATCGAAAAATGCTATCGACTAATGTTATCAAATATGCATGCCGATTTCGAGTATTCGTATCCTGACTTTGTATGAAGCATTCGAATATTAATCGAGGACGAGACACGTAGTGCCGAATTGTTAACAGTTGTTAGCTTTGTATAATTCATTCGATTATCACCCGAGAATGAGGCACGTAGTGCCGAATTGTTAACATATCTGATAATGCACCAAAGCATCCGACGATAAGGCACGTAGTGCCGAATTGTTAGCAGTTGTTAGCTTTGCATAATTCATTCGAATATTATCCGAGAATGAGGCACGTAGTGCTGAATTGTTATCCCTATTTGGTAATGTACTAAAGCATCCGATAATGAGGCACGTAGTGCCGAATTGCTAACTATTATAATGCACTCGAATATCGATCACGGATGAGGCACGTAGTGCCGAATTGTTATACCTATTTGGTAACCTGAGGATGAGACACATAGTTGTCCTAACTTAGTAATACTTAAAGCATTGTAATAAATATATCTGTTTTCTGTTTTTATTTGATATGAGGATGGGATATTGGATATAGAGATGGTATGGTATAATGGATATGGATATAAAAAAATTCTTAATGGGAAAAAAAATCGTTGGGTCAGCAATCCGCACTTTTTTTAATGTTTTTAGTTGGATTGAATCGGTTTTCAGCTATCAATAAAAATTATGCGGATTGCTGTCCCAAAAATCGAGCGTGATATGTTTTTAGCTTCTAGAACCTTTCTTTTATAAGTAAATGGTCAAACCATATCTGCGGATTGCTGTCCCAAAAATTTGACTATATCTATACAGATTGCTGTTCTATTATACCCATGCGGATTGCTGTCCCAAAATTTTACCTTCACCTCAATCAAAAATGCGTAATACAAAAATGGTTATCGATTACCTCATATATTGTGTTGTATATAATTTGTGTCGCTATGTAATTTCCGAAATTACATAGCGACACAAATTATATACAACAGGTACATTAGAAATGATGATCTCAGATTAGTAGCCAAACATTTTGAACCAAAATGGCAACTTGTACAAAATAGCTATCAGATCTTTGCAAATGCTCCAAAACCATATCGAGAAGATGTTACATTTAAATGGATATTACCAGATAAGATTCCAGATATAACTAAATTCTCTCCGGAACGAAGTACAGTTATTGTTTTTGAGGATCTATGTGCCGAACCCAAAAAAGTGCAAGAACGAATTATTCCTTACTTTATTAGTGGCCGGCATCAAAATGTCTCACCCATATATGTGAGCCAGAAATATACACAAACACCTAAAATTATTCGTGAAAATATCTCACATTTATGCCTATTTCGGGGCTCGGGTAGTAGAGACGATATTAGTAGAATCGTACGTCAATATACGGATGATCCGAAAAAAGCATCTAAGATTATTGACAAACATTTGCGAGATCGAAATTTTGTGGTCTTCGATTTTACTAAGGCAACTGACGATCCTCTCGCAATTAGATTAGGTTGGGACACGCCCTTAAAATTGGATGAATAGGGCTTGATCCGCCTTTTTTGCAATTCCAGTTAGAAATTTCATGTTATTACATATAATATACAGTATGTAAGCGAAATCTTAATATTATTTTATTAAGAAAGTTCGGGATAAATTACAATATTAAAAAATGGTTTTTTTTTTTTCATAAGAATGAATATCACAAGCACAGTAAAGAAACGATATTATTAAAATTTTATTCAAACACTAAGACATCATTATTTACGTTTAACTATTTCTTTAAACTGCGGTGTTCTCAACGTAGCTCTCAACCTATTTATGATTTCTACAGGAACATTACCATTTTCTTTCTTTTTGTTAATATCATCACGAAGCCTTTGCACTTCATTCTCGTATTTTTCCTGGGATTCGCAACAAATGTCACTGGTTAGTTTTAAGAATAATAAGTCAGAAAAGAATATCGAAAATGTTAATTTAAGCATACAGTAAATGTGAACAAATTGTCAATGCCGTTAATGAATTGTCCGCAGGTTTGAAAGGACTTGGGAAGTTGAGTTTCGCCAATATCGAACATAATATAGAGCCCTGATGCAGACAGGACCATAACGTAGCCCGTCCATGACGTCACTACAATATAATAATCGTGAGTAAACCAAAAAAATGGTCAATTACTGCATATAAGTTAACTCACCAACTGTTTGCCACGCAAAAGTCATGTGTTCTTTTCCTGTCTTCTTGACGAAAAGATCGAGAGCATCCTTCATGAAAATTCCTAACCTTATCAGATCCAAATTATTTTTCTTTGTATTGTTATTTTTTCCTTCCTCTCCGAACATAATTTCGTATTTGGATTTGTTGTTATTCACAACATTTCCGATCATATCTGGTTGCTTTGCTCGTGAGGGATCTAGATCGGCAAGTTTACGGATTTTGCTACTCATACTGGCAGTGTTGGGCCAAATGGCCGGATGTACTGAAGCATCGTGAAAGAAGGAGCGCAATACTGGACTAATGATGTTGGCTGTCAGAGTGCCCTCACTAAGAAGGTCCTTCAATGGCTTAACAGGAATATTTTTCGTTCTGTGAAATAGATAAAAAATGTTATAACCAGCTGGACATACAAGAAATAAAAGCATCATGAATTTGGACTTACAACTGTAGAAAGATAAACCGCATCCTTTCAAACTTTTTCTGGTATCAAAAGACTTTGTGAATAATCGTTCTACGCTTCTTTCCGCTTCTCTCAGCCCAAGATCTTCATCAAGTGCGGTCTAATACACCAAAACCACCATATATAAAAAGTTATAATATGTAGTAACTTTTCGAGAAAAAAAAAATACATTAATACAATAATACCTCGATACATTCTCGAAATATCGTCTTTACGCCTTGCGCAACTTTTGTTTTCACTATATACATATTGCGCATATGTTTATGAAAATCTACTAGAATATCACCGGAGAATTGTTCAATCTGCAGATCCGAGAAATTATCAGCTTGTAACAATAAAATATGCGATAAGCTCCTAATGTTTCCAAACGA